AAAAATCTAAAGTGTTTTCGATTAGTTCAATTTAAATATTTTAAATAGTTTTTTTCTTTATTCTTTGTATTTTTTTTTGCTTTCGACCGCGACGACGGAAAGAGATAAACTTTCCGAAACGTAAAGCATTTTTTTTTGTTCGTTAGGCAAATTTGTAAATCTGTAAACCTAACTTCTGACAAGTAGTTTCTGTTTGGGATTAACGCAGAAGTGTTTACAAAAAAATAACTATTTTATTTTGTAGATTTTCTTGCAGTGGCGAAATACCCATATAGGATTTTTGGAGAGTCAACATTGACCTCCCACATTAACCCTGAAAATACAATCAAAACAAATCTAAAGAAGAAACGCGAAGAACTGGATATAAAATTATAAAATTCTTTTGACATCGCCGAATCTACAATGAGAAAAAGTTCAAACAATATGAGTATGAAAAATTCGCAACATTCTGCATTAGGTATTTAATAAGTTTTCTATGCCCAAAAAGGACCGAGTTAAATAAACTTCAGCCAAGTCATTTCTAAGAATCTTGCACTTTATTGATATTCCTTTTCTATTTTCTATCAATTATTCAGCAGCGTACAGCGCTTGCCGATTTACAGTCCGATTCAAGAACTTAAGTAAACAAGCCTTTGCCATTTCTTCGACACATCGTTCAACAACCTTTCTTTTTCTGTTCGTTTCGGAGAATAGCGTAACTTCGCTGGTCGATAACGCGTCGCCATCTCTCGCTGCAACGAAAGAAAGCGACACAACAAAAATATCCACGTACTCGAAACCCAAATACCCGCCAGAAGAAAATAAAAAACGATAAATTAGCCATAATACCTAACTAAATACGGTTTTCTATCGGCCTACAGAATGTCGTCAGTATGTAGAATATACAAAAACATATTAATACCCAATAAATATTTGTCACGACTTATGGTAACGTAAACATATATAAGGGCTACATAAAGGTAACAAAGGTATACATAACATTAATCAGTTATACATGATTTGCGGTAACGCTATTTATATAAATTAGACACATGCAGTTATGTACGCGTGTTGTTAATCACTACTATAAAAATTGGTGCTTGATACTGCTGCCAATATTACATTACATAACTTTTGGTGTTAATATAGTAACGGTTGTATCTTATATAAAACTTTGTAACTTCAAGTAAGGGAAATTACTCTTATAATACTTAAATTTCATAACCTTATATTATATACAGGGTGGTCCGAATCGTATTCCGGAAACTTCGGCAGCATATTCTGCAGATAAAAATAACTAAAAAGGTTCATATATGTAAATGTATGTCCTAAAATGCTTAGTTTCGGAAATACAGGATGTAGAAATACAAGTTTAATTTTGATCTCGATTATTTCCAAATAATTTATGAAGTAACATCAATATTTGGATGAAAATTGGTGTCTGGGAGTTGTTTGATATGAGAAATTTGATTTTTACATCAATATGACTCCTACTTATAGAGGGCGCCACCTACATATTTTTAACTGGTTTGAAGAGTAATAACTTTTCGTCCATACCTGTATAAAACTAGCGAGTAAAAAAATATACAATTCACATGGGCGCCGGACAGGGGGGGCAAGAGGGGGCATTTGCCCCCCCCTGGATCACTGAAACAATAAAAATAAAAGCTATCTTCTTACATCCATCTGTAAAAAAAATAATCATTATTATGAAATTGTTAGGTGTTACCTGTAAAATAATAAAAAATGTGGTAATTATTGGGAAAACTGGAAATCGTCCGATTTTCACCAAAATTGGTATACACACTATTTTGAGGTCGTAGATTACGAATCTATTTTTTTCTTGGCGGTCTCTTACCGTTTTTCAGAAAAACGGAAAATTATTTCAACATTGAATTTTTCTTTATTTCGGCCCTATAAAGTAATAATTTCACTATATTTTCATTATATTATAGTTTATCTAAAAGCCACACTTGATTGGGGATAGAAAAGTGTCCAACATTTTACTGAAAAACACTTTTCTTAACAAAATAGCAAAGAAAATTGAGACCAGATGGAAGTTTGACATTTGATATATCCTTCTTTCTCTCTCCTATGTAATAAGAGAGACAAATATATTCTAGACCTAATCTAGAAATTTGAAAATTTACAACGTTGCCATATCTTCTATTTTTTCGGGTGATTAGGGATTTTAAATAAATTACCTATTATGAGATCGACAATAATTAAATATACACCTATATCCACAAAATTACGCGGAAGAGTTTTGATTGCATTGGTTTTAACTTCTTTGCGGAGGGGGTTAATCTTTTTTTAGTTAATCTAATAATATAACAACAAAAGATTAACACCCTCTGCATGGAAGTTGTAACCAATGCAATCAAAACTCTTTCGTGCAACTTCGTGGGTATAAATAGTCAGATCTCGTTGGTAAAATAGCAGTTATGGGAAGGAGCCGTTCTTCTGGCGACCGCCTTTCGTAATTCCAGAATGAGCGAAAAAAACACGCTAAATTTAGGTTTAGCATTGGCAACGTTGCTTTAAATGCCAGAAACACATAAACTTACTTCGGGTTTCTCTTATTACCGATTCTGAACCGTCCTAGAACTGTGATGCGTATGCGCAGAAGGAAATATGAAGACATTATTTCATTTGCGCATGCGCTGCAGAGTTCTTGGACGGTTCAGAATCGGTAATAACAAGAACCCGAACAAAGCTATAATCTAACATTTTCAGATTGTTTACAAATTTATTTTAGCAAATTTTCCTCTAGTATGCATAGAATTGGTTAAAAAAGTAACAGAAAATAGCAAAATCATTATTGATTATTGAATAAGCAAACGAAAGAAAAACAAAATATGTGCTAGAAAACCTTAAAAATATGAGAAATTAAGAAAAATTCAATATTGAAATTATTTTCCGTTTTTCTGAAAAACGGTAAGAGACCGCCAAGAAAAAAGTTCAGATTCGTAATCTACGACTTCAAAATAGGGTGTATACCAATTTTGGTGAAAATCGGACGATTTCCAGTTTTCCCAATAATTACCAAAAATGTCAATTTTTTATTTATTTTTACCTTGCCCCCCCCCCTAAATTTCATTCTTCCGGCGCCCATGACAATTCACAACTTTTTTTACATAAAAAAGGTCTCTTGGTAAAAATCGCTGCGACTAATAGTTCTGGAGATATTTGGAATCGAAATTATCAATATCTGTCATCATTGACATAAATTAAACATGTTGACTAAATAGTTATTAGACTGAAATCATAAATTTGAAATCTTTTTGTGCCAAAAGTTCAACAGAAACTGTTTAATCATCATTTTTTTGCGGAAAAATATATGATTAATTTAAAAAATAAAAATTTATTATTTCAGCCAAATAAGTCAACGTGTGCTTATTTTTTGTCAATAATGACGTATTGACTATTTCCATTCTAAATATCTTGAGAACGGTGGCTCGTAGCGATTTTTACCAAGAAACATTTTTTACGTAAAAAGTCATGGAAACATATATTTTTTGACTCCATAGTTTTATACAGGTACGGACGAAAAGTTATTACTCTTCAAAACAGTTAAAACACATGTACGTGGCGCCCTCTACAATTAAGAGTCATATTAAGAGCCCAACCGAACCAAATATTGAAGTTACTTCATAAATTATTTGGAAAAAATCGAAATAAAAATGAAACTTCTACACCCTGCATCTCCGAAACTAAGCATTCTAGGACATACATTTATACGAACTTTTTTACTTATTTTTATCTGCAATATATGCTGCCAAAGTTTCCGGAATACAGTTCGGACCACCCTGTATATCAAATTCTAATTAAAATTTTTGTCTGCTAGTCCTAGTGTGTGCAGTTTGTGCTGTTCATAATTAGTATCGATATTTTCAGGGTAAATTTATAAATTATAATCGGAAAAAAGTTCAACACTTCTTTTTCCCGCAACGTAACCAAAAGGATATACAGGGTGTCTCAGAAATAAGTGCAAGTATTTTAACTGGTAGTATAGTTCAACCCCAGAAACACGCCTATGAGTTTTTGTTCGCGAAAAAAAAAAATTGAAGAAACACGCCTATGAGTTTTTGTTCGCGAAAAAAAAAAATTGAAAGCTCGAAATTTTTTGACAATATTTTTCGAAATGTTTTTAGTTTTTAGTTAAAAACTAACAAACGGTCTTATTAAAATGCTGAAAATAGGATAGCTTCATTTATGAAAGTGTGTAATATAAGTTGGCAAGAAGGTTTTGCACTCTTAGCAGGTAAATGTAATGCAGTTATATAAAAAAGATAAAAAAAAACAGCTCAAATTTTGTCAAAAAAGAATTTGACAGGTTAAGATAACTAGGAAGCCACTAATTTAACTAACTCAATATCAAATCTATCATTAGGCTGCGGAGAGATTTTTGAAACTTACTTTAGCCAACATTACTTTCTCACTAGTTCTTAAGGCTTTTAAATAAATTAGTAGGCATAAACAGTTATTTTTATGAATAAACATATTTAATATTATTGTTTAACAAAACAACAAACATTGTTGCGCAAATTCAAAAATATGCACTGCAATAATGAATTAAAAAAAATTGGCGAAATCGTTTTTTTCTCAATTCAATTTTAAACACTCACTGTATATAAAAACCTGTAATGTAATTCAACAGGAATAAAAAAACTTTCTCCTAAAGGCAAGACTAAATAAATAAATAAGGAAGAGAAAAAGAAAAACATTACCATCGCAAAACGGTATTAGCTTTGCGGTTTCGAATTCTCAAAACGACCTGCCCGCCTATCGACTTAATTACAGATAAACAAATAAAAATTCAACCTTGACACTGAAAGTCAGCAGGTTCGAAAGAATGCGTAGGCATACGCAGGTGAGGCTGCTTTTATTAATCTTGATCTTGGATTATTATTCTTGTACAAAAAAAGAGGTCGGAGAAATTTAGGTTTTCTCCGACCGTGACCTTTAGGTCTCTTTAAGACATGTTCACTTGGAGATGAGGGAAGAAATAAAACAAACTCTTCGGTTCTTAAAGTTCTTTTATCGAAAAGTCGTTTATTTCTTTATTTTCTATCGTAAAAAAATAACAAAATCACTTAAAGCTACAATCTTAATCCCGAAAAAAATTCGGGCTGTCATGGTTAACGTTTCAATAAATAGTCCAAGTCTGTCGTCTGTCGTTATTTTTATATCGTCAAGAGTATTTATCGCTACAATAAGTTACTTAAGCTTAACGTTTGAAATAAATTACATAAATAGAAATAAAAAACTTAGTAGGTCTGATTGCAGGCCTCCAACGAAAATGTCTCTGAAAAAAATGTACATTTAGACATCTAGGTTGTGTGCTCCTGCAGGGGGTTAGACCGTCATTTGGCAGGTACTGAACCAGTTAATTAGGTTCCTATTGTTGTTGTTGCTGGGCTGGTAATTGACCTCGGTAAGCTAACTGTTGGGCGTCAAGTGACCTTCCCCATCCACCGTGTCCCGAACTTCCGTAACTTCCTCCCCCAATGTCACCTCCATAACCACCCCCATGTCCTGAACCACCGGAGTATGCTACCTCGTGAGTCGCCACGTGACTGCTGCTGTGCTGCGGGTGCGCCACCACTTCGTACGTTACGTGTTTCCCGTGGCCCTGACTGCCGAGGAGTTTCTTGATTCCGATGATGGCCGAGAGGACCAGGGCGATTTTACCGATGATCAGGGCTTTTCCGGCGATGAGTGCGATGGCCCAGAGTGCGAGTTTTCCCAGGAGGGCGGCCTTGAGTGCGAGGATGGCCATGAGACCTCCCATGTTACCTCCCTTCTTCTTTTTCTTACCTCTGCCTTCTTCAACTGCGTCATCTTCCACGACTTCTGATAGACTTCTTGCTCCGGATTGGACTGCGTTGACTAGATCGCTTCCTTTCAGGTCAACTTTGATGGTGTGGCTGTTCAGGAAGCGGGAGACACGGTCCAAGACGAGGGACTCGATGGTTTCATCTCCGTTAAACGCACGAGGAGCACCGTCTTTTTCGTTGCCGCTTTTCACGATCTGAATCCCATCGGTTACTGTGATGGTATCTTTCTGTCCTAGGGTTTTGTCGACGAAACTGTAGATTTTGTACTTGAGACAGGACAGCGAGTCTTTTCGTAAACAATCGGTGTAGATCGAATCCAGAAGGTCACTCTCGGTCTGGATGGAGTTGCTGCGGGCCTCTTCCTGAGCTGGAAGGCCGCTGGCCGCGACAATCGCGAAGAACAAGCACGCGGAGACGAGTTTGCAGTTCATCTTGAGCATGTCGTACGTGATATGGTCGTTGTGGCGCGACGAGGACAGTTTTATAACGGGGCTCCCTCCCGTCGCGGCGTCGGGGTTCGGGCGGCCGCTTTCACGGGCCCCCCGAGACCATAACCCGGTTTTGGGTGGCCGGCCCTGTGCGCTATGTGCTTCTTTCTTCACGTGGGACCGCGAGGCGGCTTCTTCTCTATTGTCGCGAGCGGCGAGGCTTGAGTTTGCTTTGACGGTCACGGTTAAGGTTGTTGTTTTGTTGTTGGCACGAGCTACGGCGGTTGCGATTTGTTTTTTAATATTTTTTATGATTGATGTTTTATTCAAGTCGAAGAATAAAGGAAGATAAGGATTATTAATATTTTTTTTCAATTGGTTTATTTATATTACAGCTTTGATCTAAAGATTTAGTAATTTTGCTTAACAAATTAAGTCAGGTCAAGTTTTTCAAATAATTATATTGAGAATAATGTTTGATATAATTGTATTTTAATATACGCCAAATAAATATGTGTTTATGTAGTGATCTTAGTGAGAGTGTGATATTCCAAAATATATATTTGGTTGATTATTTGGATAACATCCTGAAATTATCTACTTCTTTCTTAAAACAGTGAAAATATTAGTTAGAATATCAATTAAGTATGATGGCTATTGTAAAGGATTATTCTATGGCAAGCCCGAAATATTGGTGTTTTTGATGTGAAAATACGCTCTGCAGAAGTCCTTTACACGATATAATATAAGTGTCGATATAAGTGTTTTTGTAGTGATGAGAGTGAGATATTGCTTTTTTTCTGTACGATAACTTAATGAAATTTTTGAAAGATGTTTTTAAAAATATCAATACAATATTTTCTTAAGAATAATTAATTATAATAATAAATTATTTTCTAAGTAGCTAATACTGTTACGGTTGTATTTAACTGACATAAATGATGGAATTTGGGATTTTCTTCTATTTATTTGGTGCATTTTCAAGTTCAAAATATTCTTTTGCCCTTTTTGTGTAATGTTTAGTTGAGATTTAAAAATAATAATATTTCTTGTATTGTTACATATTTTCAAGTAGAGTCTTTCACAAAAATATATTATTAACTATTAATAAAAATAACGATCGTTGAAAATTAGGGTTTTCCCAAATATCTTCGTAGAAATCGGAGTTTTTTTCAAATTTTGAAGCATTGGGAGTAGAGTTTCCAAACAGGTATCCTGGGATCTTGATGTTTGTTTATCGCCGTAATCCCGATATTAAATCAGCCCAATCTAAAATGATTATGCTTTATACACTTTCTAAGATCATTATTTTATTTATACTAAACAGAACGTCAATATATTAAAGTAATATTTCTGTGTTTGCAATATTTTGTCTTTTTTTTTGGATTTGGATTTGGGGATTGGATTGTATTTTGTTTACTTACTAAATATGAATTAAACTTTGTTTTGTCTCTTTTAATAAAACTTTTTTCCCATATTCTTTTTGATGTACGTAGCTGAATTTATTAAGTATTTTTTTAGATTAGATTTCTCATTTTGATAGTAAATAACGTCTAGAGATTGACCTCGCTAAAATTAACATCGATTTGCCTTTTCCCAGCCGTTTTAGACGCAGTTACTTATTAATAAAAAACAGCTTGGGAAACTTGTGTCCGTGGATATTAATGCTAAGGAAATTTCTCCAAAAATATCTTTTTTCCCATTTACTTGAAACATACTTACATTTCTCTAAAAACATTTTTTTTCAAACGTCACAAAAGTATTAATTTTTGCAAAGTGATTAACAATATAAAAAAGTCATTTTAACGCCTAGGCATCAAAGTAAGGCACTTTTACACCTAAGCATAAAAGTACGAAATAGCTAAAAGATTTTCTCTGAAAGCGGACAATTTGAGATTTTCATGCTATTATTACTATTTATGTTTAAACAGTTTTTAAAATGTTCTGGTAATCGGTTTCTAAGACATTGTTTATGCATTGCTTAATGACAAAGTTCTGCCAGGTTCAAACGTCGCCGTATTTCCTACAAAGTTTTGTGAAAAAAATGAGTGATAATGACGAGTTCTTGGATATTCAACAAGCTGCTGAAACTGCGCTATCCACGTTAGTGCCTGAGAAGTCCAAAAACTTATACGAGACCAAATACAACAACTTTGAAACCTGGGTCAAAGAGAAACATGTTGAGAATTTCAGAGAAAAGGTATTGCTAGTCTATTTCCTGAAGTTATCCACTACCTTAAAGCTGTCAACTCTGTGGAGTAAATATTCGATGCTCTCACTGAACCAAAAGTCGACATAAATATAATGAAAAAGTTCATTAATATAATGAATTAAATCATTAATTTTGAGCCGATGAACGATTTCATTGGCACAGTGAAAAGTAATTCATTAACTCTATGAACTTTAAGTTCATTAAATAAATGAACAGTGTTCATTAATTTGAAGAACACATTCATTGGTACAATGAACAGATTTCATTAATATAATGTACCTAAATCCTTATATTAATGAACCGTATCATTAATACAATGAAATAATTTCATAACCTATTTAGTTATACATTTAAAAGTCGACACTATTAGTAACTCTTGTTACACCGTATAATCGATGATGAAGATCGCTGTCATTGATATGAAATGTCATTGATAGTCTTTTCTCAGCCAACTACCTGAAATAATTCTACTATAAATAGATTTCCATTTGAACAAGCCCTTAGCTAAAAAGGTAACAAAATTACTAATAGTGCCGATTTACTTACGAGCACAGTAAGTTTTTCCATTAGGGATTATTAATAAAAAACAAGTGCAATAAACTAATAATAATTTATTAAACTCGAAATAGCATATACAAATTAAAAATTAAAAAAAAAATGAATCGACGAAGAGAATAGTAATGTTATTATTAATTTTAGGGTAAATTATAATAAGAAAATTAATTTACCAGTCGATATCCTGAGGGATTTCTATAAAAAGACCATTTCTTCATTATATTAGCTGTATCCTTAGACTTGATAACGTCTAGACGAATTTGCAACAGGCCTTCCAAGTCGCATCAAGTGGGTCCGATGTTAAATTGTCGAATTTGAGGGCTTGAAGGCAGGTCTCAACATTCTTCTTCCGGTTCTAAAAGGCGTATATCAAAATAATTAAAATGCCAAACATTAAAAGAACATTCGAATTTACCATAATCAGTTCCATGCCTCGACTCGTTACTATGTTTTTCTTCTTTTTGTTTTTTATCTTCTGAAACATATTTGGAAACCGCTGTTTTAATGAATACCCACACCAGAGATCTCACACAGCGGAATTTGATTTGACAACACAACAAATTAACTACAATACGATAGGACTTTTATTTAAAATATTTAAAATATATTTAAAATATTGAAGAGTGCACTTACCACTCTAATGAAACTAAAGCCTCACTGAATAACTCAACCACACAGACGTTATTAAAGTGTCAAAGTAACCGATCAACATGGCGGACATTTAAGCCGTAATATTTTATTCATAATATTAATAACCGCGTACATTAATATAATGTAGTGTGCTCGTTGTATTAATAACATTGTTCATTGTCACAATGTACAACTCATTAATCAATGATTTAGTACATTAATATAATGAATATGTGTTTATTAAAGTTTCAGCACTAAAATAAAGAACGCGTATTCATTATATTAATGAAAATCTTACATTAATTTAATAACCAGATTTTCATTTTATTGATGAAATTAGATTCATAGTATTAATAAATCGGACATCGATCTATGATTAACAAATCATTATATTAATGAAAAAAATCATTGTCCCAATGAAACAATAGTTAATAATCAATGTTCATTAATATTATGAACAATTTTTTTTTCAGTGCTCTCCGCACCATGATTTACCTGAACAGAAACGTAGATATTAGCAAATTCACAAATGTTATTGCATTTTTACAAAGAAAAAATTCCGGATATCAGGCAAAGAAATCAAAAGTATTTACAAAACTGAAAATAGAACGCTTTACGAAAGAAGCCGATGACAAAGAATTCCTGTTAGCTAAAGTTGTCTTAATCGTATTTATAATAAATAAATAGTTTTTCATTGTTTCTAACGTTTCATTTTTTACTTTTAGGCACTAGTGCCTAAACAAGTGTCACTTTTAGAAACTAGTGCCTAAAAGAATGTCATTTCGAATCTCAAGTAAAAAATATCAAAAACTGTCAATTTCGAAACTCTTTCACAAAAATATATTAATAAACGAACATAAAGTGTCAAATTCAACGAGCGTACTCATAGTTTCTCAAGTTTCTCAATATATAATGACTTACAAGGTATTACTTTTAAATATTTTTATATTATTTGGAACGTTTGAAATTGTTTAAAAATTATTTGTGGCGTTTGAAAAAAAAATAGCATGTTCTATTCGGAGTAAAAATGGCTTTTTTGTGCCTCCACTGCATGTCAAACGTAAAGCCTCGCCACAAAAAGTGTTATTTTTACTCATAATAATTCAATATACTATTATCCTTATCTAATCATTGTCACACATTTTTTAAAATATTCCAAGCCCTAAAATTAATCACGAAAAACGATAATAATTGCTAATTTTGTTTGTTTGCGAGCGATTTATTTACATAATAGTCTGCAGTTAATTGGCTCGTTAGTGGAATAATTTTCAGTCTATTACAAGCGATTATGGTATAAATACATAGAACACATTTATAATCCAATTTTATTTAAATGATGACTCGACAATACAAGCGCCCGTTTAGAAGTAATACCCTGTTATTAGTGCAGTTAAATAATCGACACTGTGATGAAAAGTTTTTACGTTATTCTAGATTAACACTTCGATTTACAAGTTAATGATCTTGATCTGAATAGCGTAACAGAGAAATCGGATATTGTAGATTTAAATTTCTATACTTATTTTATGCTTTATTTTTATGGTAATTGTGGCAATATTATGTTAAGTTCATAATTGCTGGGGAAAGTACCCGATAGCTATCTTAGTCTTTTTTATAAAATGGAGATTTACTAATTTCTTCCAAA